CTTCTTTAAAATCTCACGCTCTGCAGTTTCAAATTTGGCATCCGTAGCCAAAGACCTGAGAGTCTCGGGAAAAGCTTGAGTAATGAGTTTCGCCCGTTCTTTGTGGGTATCCTGGAATGTTGGATACTTGAAGGCAAAACTGAAGATTGTATTCTTTACCGCACCTCCCGCATGACAAAAGTAATAGTTGAAGGAAAGAGGCTCGCTGGAGTAGCATACTGCAAATAGAAAAGTTAGTCAGAAGAAGTCTCAGACCTGCGTCCAGATCATTTAATGCAGAGCCTTAACCTGCATCTAAATCTTTGAACGCAAGGTTTAGACCTGCGTTCGAATTCTTGAACGCGGGGCCTTAACCTGCATCTAATTTTGAACGCAAGGTTTAGACCTGCGTTCAGATTCTCGAACGCGGGGTCTCAACCTACCTCCAAGATTTTAAACGCAGGGTCTAAACCTGCGTTGAAATTTTATGAACGATGGAGCTGGCCATGCGTTTTCTTGAAAATTGGTTATCAACCCAGAATTATCTCTTGAGCTTAAACACAGATCGTCAACCAGGGGTCAAGGACATGAGATCTATCAAACCAACTTCCAATGGTTCAATCTTACCATTAGTGGAAGAAACCAGCGACGAAGGCGCGGGGATTTGATCGTCCCCAGAGGTTCTGGCTGAAGAAGCACCCTGAGCTTTGGCGATCTTCGATTTGGAAGCCATTTTCTTCTTAGGGCCCATTCCAACCGTGGCAAGGAAGACGAAGATGGGCGAAGTATTTAGGAACGGATCTTTTCCTCCGTTGAAGCGCTGGAGAAGATGAAATGGAGCCCTGTTAAGAAATCGAGTGAAAAAGGGAAAAGTCGAATGACCTTTTGATTTGACCTCAGTGGCCCATTTATAAACAGCTGTAGCTGTCAAATCAGAGCGGGATTTTAGGCAAATCTCACTCGAAACGTGATTCTCGCATTTTCAAAAAAAAAGGGGTTTTGATTTCCGAACGCACCCTCACGTTTAAACTGCAGAACGCATAATTTAGACATGCGTTCTGGTGACCAACCTCAGCCTATCACGTAATTAACCCCTTCAAAGAGGTTAATATTCCAAGCAATGACCCCAAACAAGATGATCAAGAGAGAAGATAAAGTGAATCCATCTGAAGCCAGTCTCCTGACTAAGCTGGGGATGAAGTCCTTCTGATACAGGCTTGTGGTTTTCTCCATCTGTGACGACAGATCTGTCTTAAGCCCAGAAATATCCAACTCCCCTGAAGATGATGAAACTAGTCAAACAAGCTTAAGCCCAAGTCATTACGGATGAACCAAAAGAGAATGAAGAAGTCAACAAAGATGCTCCACTTCATCTGCGATAAGATACATTTGATCAACAAAATTTTTGGGTTCCAAAGTGTTTCAAAAATTCGTCCCAGTCAACCGCGAACTTTCGAAAACTTTGGAGGGGGTTCTGTAGGCTGTCTAAAAAAGATAGCTGATTCCCCATCAAATACTGATGATGGAAGTTACAATCTGACAACTTCCAGAAGGCTATCTTTAGCAACACTCTGACAGAAAGAGATTACAAATCGACGATCTCTTCAAACCAAGACGTGGAAGTCTTCCCTACGTACCATCTTCAAGACACAATACGAATTTGATTACCTACGCAGCTTCAACCGCTGCAAACAAAGATACAGCTGCTTATGTGAGATGATTGATCTTGATGGCTGTGACAACAACATGACTAATATTATATTAGCAACTATTAGAGATGCTGATGAGCAGTGTAATGATATTCGACACACTATCAACCGCTGCCAAACGCAGCTCCATCGCTGCCCAACGCATCTTATCAACCGCTGCCAAACGCAGCTCCATCGCTGCCCAATGCAGCTTATCAACCGCTGCCAAACGCAGCTCCATCGCTACCCAACGCAGCTTACCAACCGCTGCCAAACGCAGCTCACTAACCGCCACCAAACGCAGCTCCATCGCTGCCCAACGCAGCTCATCAACCGCTGCCAAACGCAGCTCCATCGCTACCCAACGCAGCTTACCAACCGCTGCCAAACGCAGCTCACCAACCGTTGCCAAACGCAGCTCCATCGCTGCCCAACGCAGCTTACCAACCGCTGCCGAACGCAGCTCACCAACCGCTGCCAAACGCAGCTCATCAGTCGCTGCCAAACGCAGCTCCATCACTGCTGAACACAGCTCACCAACCACTGCCAAACGCAGCTCATCAGTCGCTGCCAACGCAGCTCATCAGTCGCTGCCAACGCAGCTCTATCGCTGCACGACACAGCTCGTCACAGCAGCTCTTTCTAGTCACCGCCAGAACGCAAGTCAAGGTTCTGACTCATTCAAACGTGATCGTAACAACTTCGAAGCTGTTCTCTACCCACGATATAGGGAGTGGCTTACGTGGGTTGTTACACCCGATTAATGGGGTAACTAAACCCCTATTTAGGTGCGGATTATGGGGGCAGTTACACCCCTAACCCCCCTATAAATATCAACAAACTCAACAGAGTTCAGGGCTCTCTTGGCTTGATTGCTTGGATCGGATTTTTTGATAATCAGATCGAGAGACGAGATATCATCGGAGATCAGATTTTCTGGAGAGGATCTTAGAGAGAGAGTTGGAGAATTAACTCTTTATACAGTCTGGGGAATCAACATCCATTGAGGGATCCAGACGTTAGATACTTGGCTTATTAACCGAATCATTTTCGGTTCAAACAACTCTTTTTATCAGAGTTTGTTATTCGTTCTGAATCACAAAACTCGTCAAGAGTTATCGACCAGACCAGATCGTCGTTCCAGTGAGCATAGATATTCGGATCGTCAACGAGAAGCAAACTCGACGCGAGCATTCGAGGGAGGCATCTCATCGCCACCATGAAGAACCCAGAATTAAACAAAGGAGAGAATCCAGATCATTCTCTTCTCTTTTGTAATCAGGAATTCAAATTGTAATCGAGAGTAGAGAGAGTTGTAATCATTCTTTTTCTAAACAGTTAGAGAGAATAAAATCAAATACAGTTCTACCACTCTGTAGAGTAGGCAACACAAACTGACGGCAGTGCAGATAATGAGTAGCCCGAAGAATCCGAATCTGAATCGTTGCCACTAGCCTTGACAACATTTGCCTCTGAAGCTTGAATGACTTTTCCCTTATTCTTCCCGGCTCGATCAACTAACTTTGGACATTCGGCTTTCCAATATCCATCCTCTTTGCAAAAGGCACACTGATTCTTATGAACTCTAAGATGTGCCCCTCTAGACTGCGACCTCCCACTACGGTTTGGACCTTTTTCTCTTGCGACCAACGCCCCCGCTACCGGCTCAATCGAAGTCTCCTTATCCTTCTTTCGAAGCTGATAATTCATAAGTGCAGCGGTGACCTCACTATACGAAAGAGATGCCTTCCCATTAATAACAGTAAGAACGAAGGTCTCATATTCCTCGTCGGGCAAGGAACTCAACAACAACAACGCCTTGTCTTCATCTTCAATCACCACATCTACATTCGCCAAATCCGCAAGAAACTTCGTGTAGTGGTTCATGTGATCACCAACGGAGGTTCCTTTCTTCAACTGGAAGCGGTAAAGCCTCCTCTTCAAATGCAAGCGATTCTCCACACTCTTGGTCAAATACTTGCTCTCAAGGATCTCCCAATCTTCTTTGCAGAAGTCTCATTGATCACATCATACTTTAGATCTTGAGTGAGACAAGACCTAATCACACCACACGCCATTCGATTCATCTTTTTCCAAACATTCTCATCAATATTGTCCGGTTTCCCGTCCAACTCCAACGTATCTTCCAAATTTTGCGCGTTGAGCGCATCCATGACTTCGCATCGCCAAAGTCCAAAATTGTTTGTGCCATTGAACTTTTCCACGTCAATCTTCATCGAGTGGATATTCAAGCTTTGGACGGTCTTCACGCCGGAAGTACTGCCCACAACTCCTTCTTTCTCGGCCATAATCCTCAAAACACCACCAAACCAATGCGGAAACAAGCGAGAAATATATCCAAAACTGAAAAAGATGAGATTTTTACCAAAAAGACCCCACCTTTATCACCAAACGAAGCCCTAGACGAACTTCCAAAGCGATCTACTCCTCCAACTAGCCCAAGCATAGCCCGAGCTCTGATACCACTTGTTGTGAACAGACGGCGGTGCCGAGAAACCAAAACAAACGCCGATCAAAGAAGTCCAAAAACAACCAAATATCAATGCACAAACCCAAACACCAATTTTAACGTGGTTCGGCAATTGCCTACGTCCACGGGGCAAGAAGGGGGAGGGTTTCCACTAATAGAGAAGGAGAGTACAAATTGAGATTACAAATCGCTCAAACGAACCAACTAATCTCACCAACAAATCTCTCAACCTCTCAACCAATTACCCTAACCAATAGCTCAGAAAGATCTCTCTTTTCTGTGCTCCAAAATCCCCAAATATGCTCCTTCAGAACCCTCAAATCGTATTGGTATTTATACCAAAACAGAAACCCAAACAGACTGCAAATAGGAACCTGAACTTTCCAAAAAACCCGTCGTAAGTTGACTTATCAGTCTGCATAAGTCGACTTGGCAGAGCGAAAAATGACAACTGGAGAAGAGTTCATAAGTCGACTTAACAGGTCTGATAAGTCGACTTGTCAGAGCCCAAAATCAACAATTCACAGCAGATCGTAAGTCGACTTATGACACAACATAAGTCGACTTACTATAAGTCGACTTATGCCTGTGCATGAGTCGACTTATGACCAAAAATCTGTTTTTTCCAAGTTCTTCTCCACACGATCGTGTCAAACCCAGTTTCTGAAATTCTTCGATTGTGCACTATAGTTCATCGATTGTCTCATAACCATCGATGATGTGTCAATGACCATTGATGGTACGATGGCTGAAATCAACATAAGTATTGATTTTTTGCATCGTTTCTCCTTGTATTTTTGTGTGTACCTGTTTATACCTATAATATATTATCACAACAATCATCAGTAACAAATGAAAGTTTTTTATTACTCAAATAAGAGATATTGTACGAACTCCATTCTAACAACAAATAGATAAACAATGGCTAATTATTCGGAACGTTGCTCAGCAGCACCCATGACTCATCATCGTATTGACAAATTCCGTCCAAGCCTTATCAGACGATCCTCCGCCTCTCATCGCCGCTTTGGCTGCCTCCTTCATGGACGCCGCTCGATCCTTGAGCTCTATCCCTCCCTCTGATTCCATCAGCCATCTCACCTTAGCCTCAACCTCATCGGCACTCACCATCTCCTTATCGTATCCCTTCATCTCCACGGCCATCTTTGCCTCCTCCACCAAGAACACCTTGTTCATCTTCTGCTCCGCGTACAGCGGCCATGCAATCATCGGCACGCCCGCGATGACCGCCTCCAGCGTCGAGTTCCACCCACAGTGAGTCACGAACCCACCCACCGCCTCGTGCCCCAGCACAGCCGCCTGTGGGATCCACGACTTCACCACCATCCCTCTCCCCTCCGTGCTCTCCAAAAACCCCTCCGGCATCAGCACGCTCAGGTTGGGCTCCGGCCTCGGTGCAAACAGGTTCTTCGGGTCCCCACTGGGCTGGCTCGGAACAACCCACAGAAACCTGCCCGCTTCTCTCCAACCCGTTAGCAATCTCCTTCAGCTGCTCAGACGAAAAGGAGCCCATACTCCCGAAGCACAAAAACACCACGCTCCCCTTGGGCTGCGCATCGAGCCACTTCAAACACTCGTGCCTCTCTCCACCTTCCCCTCCTACTCTATCCGCTGTAACCAGTGGACCAATGCAATAAATTGGACACATATGACTTCCTTGACCAACACAGAGCCCATCAACAAGAGCCTTGATTGGTTTGGATTCCAACATCTCAAACGTGTTTATCATAATTCCATTGGCTCTCGTAAGCCGATCGAAATGATAAATACAGCTCTTGCACCTCTCGTCCTCGCGATCCATCAGATAGTTCAGCAAGTGAGATGCAGGAATCGGAGGCAGACCGGGGAATTCGAGAGGTTTATCTCCAAGATCTCCAAAATTCTCGGCCATCTTAGAGAGGAGAGTTGGAACGCAAATAAAAACAGAGAGGGAGGACGCGGGGCTAGGGTAGAAGAAGTAGGCCGGCAGGTTGAGCTCGTGCGCGACGTCGAGTGCTGCGCTGCAGAACATGTCCAAAACGAGCGCTCGGATCCTTGATTTCTCAGCGAGGGATTTGAGGAAGTCGAGGAGGAGTGGGTTTGTGCGGGGGAGGAGTTGGAAGCCGGGGATGGGACGGTCGAAGGAGAGCTTGGGAAGGCAGTGGAAGCAGACGGAAGGGTTGGCGGAGGAGATGCGCAAGAGGTCGGAAGAGTTGAGGGAGGAGGAGAATGAGGTTTCGACGACGAGGATGATGACGGAGAAGTTGCGGTTGGCGAAGAGCTTGGCGAGCTCGAGCATTGGAGTGACATGGCCCGAGCCAAGTCCCGGAAATAGGACTATTGTTTCTTTGTTCATGATTAATTCCCTTTTTTCTTTGTGCGGAGAAGTAGCAGATGAAACTAAGGGGGGAAATGTATAGATAGTAGAAGATTGTTTAGTGTTTAAGCGTACTATATATAAAATTTCGGGTTTTTTAGTTTGCATATTAGACCTCCTAAATCACCGTGAGCAATGATGTAAGCAAAGTCCAATGAAGATGGAAGATAATAACTATAGTCTATCACCACGAAGTGTGAAGAAGGATAATATTTATTTAACCTGTAACATCACGGTGGAATGCGTTTATTCAAATTGCAATTACACGTAGGCAGGAGACGCGAACTCTAGCACTCAATTTGATCAACCCTAATCCAATTATTAATGTCCTTGAACACGTGATATAAAGCTGTTCGATCTATTCGAACGGAGGTTCTCACAATCAAACCGGCCCCATGAGTTTCCACCATATTTGTTTCAAGAATCTGATTATATATAACGTATCTGTTAACTTTTGAAGGGATGATGCACTTCAGGACCACAATCTTCCACCACTACCTCCTTGCTTGTAAGTGTGTAGATCTGCAACACTGGTTTCCCTGCAATTTTCACACTCTAGGATGTATAGGTATATATTTATGAGCACCGAATTAGGAAGTATACTTGTGATGCCTGACGATATATGAAAAAAAGGGGACAAAATACTCGATATTGTTGGGAAATAATCTTATATTTCAGCCCTAAAAAACAATGGAAGAGTTGGAATCAAACTGGGAAGCAAAACAAAGCGAAACAAGGCAAAATACTCCATATTGTCTTGTATTTCAGCACTAAAAAGGAATGGAAGAGTCGGAACCAAAATGGGAAGCGAAACGAGGCGAAAGAAGGAAAAAATGCTCCATATTGTTGGGAAATAGTTTTGTATTTCAGCACTAAAAAAGAATGGAAGAGTTAGACTTAAAATGGGAAGTGACGAGGCAAAACAAGGCAAAATGGTAAGCAAAGGCTGCAGGACTGGCCGGTCCACCAGGCAGAATTCTCTGCCGGCATACCGACAGGTTATACCGACCTGTTGGTTAGATTGGTTTTAGGCAGTTTTCCTGTTTTGGGTCTATTTTCGAATTCTATGCCACTTAGGGCTCCTAGTAGGTTATGTATTTAGTTTTGGAGCCTATAAAAGAAATCGTTTAGATCAATAGTTCGATGAACCAAGCCAAAGAAGAGAGTTGCATATTGTAAGAGAGAATTTGATAGAACAATGGCGAAATTGTGCGGGGCGGGGGAGGGGGGGGGGGGGGGTTGGTTTAGAGATATTTGGTGAATGTGAGAGAATTTCTTGTGGGTCTATCTAGATCACAAGAATAGATTAACTTGTAATCTTTAAAATAAAACAAGACTCAATTCTCTCCACGTGGACTTGCGCGATTGTCAAACCATGTAAATCTTGTGTTTTTGTCTATTGATCCAAATTTTCTATTATATATTGCTATTCCCTATAGTTTGAACATGATTTCTTAGTGTTTCAACATCACCTAGTCATCGATTGGTTTATGAAGAAGGAGGAAATCTTATCACCGTGTTCGATGATGCTTTTGGAAGCTATGCTTCCGCATAATCACTAGATAGTGTCGAATTGCGGGTGGCATGCACCAACAATTGACATTAGAGCTAAATTTATATTAGATTAGATTTATCTTTGAAGAAAGGTTTGATCTTTGTAGAATAGGATCAAAAAGTTCTTTGGTGGTGAAGATCAAGATTGAAAAGTTTAATGGTAAGTGGAATTTTGGCTTTTGTCAAAAATGGATAAAGGTTGTCTTACTTCAACAAGACCTGGAGCAGGCTTGACTAGGAGTTGCAAGAAACCGAAATGATTCAAGTGACACTAGTACAAAACTGGGCTGCCCAAACGGTTATTAGAACCGTTTGGGCAAATCGAAATAGCCCAAACGGGTACAACCGTTTGGGTTACTTATTCCAAACGGGTACAACTGTTTGGGCTATTAGATAATCCCAAACGGCTCTCCCAAACGGGTTAAACTGTTTGGATATTTCAATCCAAACGGGTTACAACCGTTTGGGAGCAGCAGGATGCTAGGGTAAAAAAAAATTGCCATTTTACTTTTTAGGACCCGCGCCCCCCAAACTTCACCCGCGGGTTGAAACATCTTCGCCGAAAATCGCCCGCGCGTCCCCCAAAATTCACCCGCGCGTCCCCCAAAAGTATTTGATCGATCCCCAAAATTCACCAGCCTCATCTAATTGTGATCTTCGCCTCCACCTCCTTCATATCTACTCCCGATCGCTGACGCCTCCGCCTCTGCCTCATCTTCGCCGGAAGCACCTCCGCCTCATCTTTGCGCCGCTGTCGATCCTCCGCCGTCTCCTCCTCCGCATCCATCGATTCCTCCGCAGCGTTGGCCTTCGCCAATTCATAGGTTCGGGTCGTGTTGCTCCTCCGCCTCCACCGCCTCCTGCTCAAGTCGGCCCTTTATCCTCTGTAATTATCTACTCTCAACAAAACCCTAAACCTAATTAATTTGTGTTCGTTAGAGATCCTACCCTCATATTAGATATTATTATGTTAACTTACATCATTGAGATATATAGAATGCTAATTTATATTGTTGCTGCTGTTGTGTGGTGTATATGCCTTCGGCTACACCAGTATATCATCGATACCTAGAGTTCTTTGAAATTTACCATAATCACATATCAACCAACTACAAGTCATGCAGAAAAATCCCAGCAAAGACCTCCAAGTCTGAGATGGTAAGCAGGGACATGGTGCTTGCAGTTTGCTTAACATGTATTTGTATGGTATGTACCACTTTGTTTTTCTGTTCTTTTGGAGTTTGGTGATGGTGATGATGTATCCGTAAAAGAATGTAACACTCCATGTGCTTCCTCTTCTTCTACTTTCCTTTTAGTTTAATCCAACTTTCTTTCCACCTACCATGGATTTATTCTTGACGTGTTTATTTTTGTGTCAGTGATATGGTAGCTAATAATTAATCTGTTAGGCTTGATAGGCCAATGCTTTGTTGGTGTAACTAGCTATTCCTCCAGTGAGATATGTCACATGGAGAATGATTTGGCAATAGCATATTTATATCAGATAATTGGATATGTTAGAATGATTAGTTTTAACCTATCAAACTGAAAAGTGCTTGATATATTAGAATGATTAGTTTTAACCATGAGTTTGTTGGAGTACTTGCATTTTTCATGTCTTTTTGTGTGAGAGTTTTCTTGTTCTGTTGTCTCTGCGATAATTCTATAAAATTGTTGACTTCTACTTAGTCCATCACATTTATCATGTCACTATTATAAAATCTTTATTGTTTTCTGGCATATACTATTGTACACTAGTCTGATGATATTTTGAAACATTTGATTCCGAAAGGCATCACCGTGTAGCAAAAGACACCAAGAGGTGTTCTGAACGCTGTATGCTTCTCGTCATCTGGGTGCATTTTGATTTGGTTATATCCTAAAAACCCATCCATGAAAGACATTCTCTCAAATCCGCATGTATTGTCAATAATAACATCCGTGATTGGGAGAGGAAAATCATCTTTTGGACATGCCGTATTCAGATCCCTGAAGTCGATGCAAATCCTGATTTTACCTTCCTGAAGTCGATGCAAATCCTGATTTTGCCATTCTTCTTCATGACGGGAACGATGTTGGCTAACCAGTATGGATGTTGTTCTTCTCGGATAAATCCTGATTCAATTAATTTCTTAACCTCTGCCTCGATGGCTTCCATTATCTGCGGACGAAACCGTCTTTGCTGTTGCTTGACAGGTTTGGCATCCGGCTTGATATCGAGGCGGTGCATTGCCACATTGGGGTCGAGCCCTGGCATATCCTCGTAGTTCCAAGCGAAGACGTCAATATACTCCCTGATGAGAGCAATTAACTCCTCCTTCTCATTTGAGGGAAGACTATCGCTGATGAATATCGGCTTTGGGTTGGCCTCGTCGCCCATGTTAACTTGGACTATTTTATCCTCAGTGGGGGGTTCTCTCTGTTCGAACCTGTCACCATACTGCATATTCAGATGATGAACCCACGGGTCTTCCTATGTTGGCATTTGATCATCGTCCTCCATTGTAGACGGATCAGCTGTAGCCATGTTTACCATTAGGGCTTTGAATGTCTCCCCTAGACTTGTGTCGGAAGAATCAGAAGAGTATTCATTCTTAGTTTTGTTAGCAATTTGATCGATGATCTGCCAACCACATTCCTCATCGGACGAGGAAACATAGCCTAAGCCTCGCCCGTATTTATAATAATCCTCAGATTTCCCTTTTGGTACATATACCGCTTTGGCTGGATTACGAGGACCTCGATCGAAGTATAAACCTTCTCCGAGTGTGAAATCGTACCCCTGCTTTTCCATGAGCTTGCGCGCTTCCGGACTATACTTAGATAAATGCCGACCAGGTTTGTCATCATCTTCATCTTCACTTAGGAAATGATCTGGTAACGGGGAGCTTTTTCTTGTTCCGAAAGAATGCTGGAAGCGTTCCTTTGTTACATAGGACGACCGAAGCGGCATATATAAGTCAGGATTATCATACAATTCTGTTATCATATCATCAAGAGACAGGGAGTACTCTAAATCATTATTTATTTTATTAGTGGCAAGTTGCCAGTTACAACTAGAGACAGGGAGTACTCTAAATCATTATTTATTTTATTAGTGGCAAGTTGCCAGTTACAACTGCCCTCTAACGTTTGATCATCGTCAAGGTTGATTACAAAGGGTACAATGTCATTTAGAACATAACCGCCATTGTAATCAAATCCGGCTTCGGTATCAGCTTCTCCTCCGCTGTCTGTGCCTTGGGCCGATGATTCAGTATCGGATTCGTTACCATAAAGGAGAGAATCAGTGAAATAATTCTCAAACCCTTTAAATGGTTGTTTATCCGCGACCACCGTCCTGACCCTTCCATCAGTGTCGACATAACATTACTATGGATCCAAGGCCGACCCAATAGTAAGTTATATGATGTCTCAGCATCAATCACGTAACATGTGACCTCCGTCTTTAGATCACCCATTTGGCATTTTATCCGGATCTTTCC